TGGTAAGTAAAGCTCTTCGCTTTGGAGTCGTGAATGGCTGAGATCATCGCAATAGGCTTCCGACGGCGATGACGAGGATGACAGCAGTGAAGAACAGGGCAGTTTACAGAGTGAGCATTTGTGCCCGTAGTTGGTAACTTGTCAATTTCAGAGGTCGCTGATAAAGTGACAGGAACACCTCGGACTAGCGATCATCGGGTATCAATCTGACGGTCTACTGGTGAGTCGTGAAAGATCGTTAGGCTCCTGGCTCACCATGGAAGCGGACGTTGGAGGATCTCGCTTGCCTGCTCGCTTTGCTCAGCCATGCTTATGAGAAGTTCGAAAGACCTTTCGTGGAAAAGGTGTGAATGAGCGTGACATTTTCTGCGGAGTATTGATTAGGCTGCCGAAGTCACATCAACGATGGCTAATCGTCTCGATGCTCTTGCCAAGATGATGCAGGAGATCGCCGAGGAGGAGAACTCCGCGAATTCTTGTGAGTGTATGGCATATGAGCTCGAGAGAGTTCTCTTGTATTGTGTTAGATAGAGGAAACCCATTTCGACGCCTTAGGGAGGCTAGTTTCCTGCAAGGCGTCGAGAAATTGCACTTCCTCATTGTAGATGGGTTAGAACGTATCCTCACGAATCAAGGAGCTCTCACAGAACTCGCGGTCATAGAGTAAGCTCGCAATGCTAGCACCTACTGGTTTGTTTTGTGTGTTGTGATAGCAGCACTTGAGCTGATTCGAATACAACTAGGCCAATAACAGCATACACAACTGAGATACAACGCAATACAACTAAGCCGATAACAGCGTATACGACTGAGATGCAACGCAATACAACTAAGCCGATAACAGCGTATACAAGTAAGCTGTTAACAGCGTATACAACTGAGATACAACGCAATACAACTAAGCCGATATTAGCGTATACAAGTGAGCTGATAACAGCGTATACAACTGAGATACAACGCAATACAACTAAGCAGATAACAGCATATACGACTGAGATCCAACGCGATACAACTGAGCCGATAACAGCGTATACAAGTAAGCTGTTAACAGCGTATACAACTGAGATGCAACGCAATACAACTAAGCCGATATTAGCGTATACAAGTGAGCTGATAACAGCGTATACAACTGAGATACAACGCAATACAACTAAGCCGATA